CCCTGCTGGTTTGCTATAAAAGCTTCTGAATGCTTCTCTTCACTTCTGTTACTCATATCTTCAGAGACCAGTAATCGTTTGCACTATTAGGCAATGTTTTAGAGTGATTATCTGAAACAAGTTGAGCCAAGTAGAATATTTTTAGGAGTTTCTGTATAGTCCTCAAGGCACTGTTCTTAGTAGAGCAATAGCATTGCAGTAGCAAACTGCAAGGTCGAGCAACTGTCATTACCAAATGAATGGCACCTGTTCAGGACTGCAGATTGAGTGGCACTGGGCCTCCCATGTACTCACCACCCAGCTGCAGTGATTTTCAACTCTTTGGATCTTCTGTGCCCCCACCACTTCCCCTTTCTCCTATATCATTTTGGAGCAAACTCCAGATTCATATCATTTCATCTGAAGGTCACAGGCATATTCTTAAGTAGCAGGGTCCACAGCTCTGGAGATGAGATGGGCCTAGCCCACCTGGAGGATCTTTGGGATGGGCTACCCTGCGGTCTGTTTGCATGTGGAGATCCTGGAAACAGACTGCTTTGGAAACAGAGCCAACACCCAGAAGTTTGGCACAAAGTCAAACTTGGGATCGGAGACAGTGGCTACCTGCTGTCTCCACCACTGAAATAGCTTCCACAGAGGCAAGCTGATCCCTGGAGAAGGCGCTGGGCATAGAAGTACATGGATGCACCAAGTGTACGACCTTGTAGCTTCTGCATCAGATCAGGATCAGGATGAGAGATGCTGAGCTTCTGCAGTCATCGCTGAAACACCTTCAAGTGTGGACAGACCATAGGACTGGGCCAAGGGAAGAACTTATACTTCAGTGGCAACACACGGCTCCTGCACCTTCTGCCATTGCTCTGGCAGCATGAGTGGCCTGGCTGGAGCTGGAGAGAGGAGTCCGGAGTTGCTGCGTGGATACCAGGAAGTATCATTTTTATGAATACGAAGCAGTTCCACAGCTGCCCCCTCCCTCCCACCCTACTGTGAGATTTTTCACAGTTAGGTGACTTTGAGGTGAGCTGGAGCTCTAAGGTGGGGAGAAAGCCAGAGGAAAACATTTTATTTTATTTAAAATTATGTTGTTACAACCTCCCAGGTTGGCAGGATCCAAAATCATTGCTTACATTGAGTAACCTTTTCCATGGTCATCTCAGTATGCTGTGCCCCACCCCTGAGCCCTGGTGGATTTCAGCATAAATCAGAGATGGGTTGTTCAAATCCGGGGTCCAGGAAGACAGCCACTTGGCAGATGGGTGGGAGGAATTATAGCACAGATGCCTGTTACTTGCTGCTCGTGCTATCATGCTTACTTCACAGGTGAATTCTGACTGTTTAAGAGGCACTTTTTTATTGCATTTTAGGTTTTGGGGTATATGTGAAGAACATGCAAGATTGCTGCATAGGTACACACATGGCAGTGTGATTTGCTGCCTTCCTCCCCATCACCTATATCTGGCATCTTTCCCCATGCTCTCTCCCCTGGCAACTCCCCACCCCCCACTGAACCAACCCAAGTGCCCGTCGATGATAGACTGGACAGGGAAAATGTGGCACATATACACCATGGAATACTAAGAGGCACTTTTATTGCTACTCATTGCACTCAAGCTTTGGAAGATTGTAATGGAGATTTAAGATTTAGTAAAAATTTTAGACATATTAGAAGTTCAATCACAGGATTATTTATCAAGACCATAATCCACATGGAATGGGCCTCGGTATTCAAAAGTTAAAATGCTAAATTAAATTATTAAAAATTAGTTTTCTCTTTTTAACATTCTAGACAGTTTTAATATTTCAGAGTGATTATCTGAGACAAGTTGAGCTAAGTAGAATATTTTTAGGAGGAATTTCTGTATAGTCCTCAAGGCATTGTTCTCTTAGTAGGGCAATAGCATTGCAGTAGCAAACTGTGCAAGGTTGAGCAACTGTCATTACCAAATGCATGAATTTTCCCTTGAAGTTTCACATCTCCCCCACCCCTTACCCCTCCCAGTTCATCGAGCTTTATATGAGACCCTCATCTCCCTCACCATGTCCATATCATTTCTCTTGCCGGCCACTCGTCTTTCATACCTTTTATCCTATTTAAAGTAACTTAGAGTGACTGTCCAGTCCCTGGCTTTCACCTAGGAAGCCAATCTTCAAGGGAACAGATCACTCCAGGCATGAGTAATGGGATAGAAAGCATTTCATCTCGGTAGGTTGCCAATTTGAATCTGGCACAAGGCAGCAGTGATTGAAATTCATCACTGCATGGCAGGGAAATATGCCCTCACTCCCACCCCAGGGCCCTCCTAGTTCCTGCCTGGTTTGGATGATCAGTGTGCTGTCCCTGCCACAGTGCCTTCCCCATCGTTTCTATTAATTGACAGCCCACCCCACAGCAGGTCGTAAAAGAGAACCTAGAAAACATGAATGATTTTCATCACACATTTCAGAACTAGGCCTCAAAGATTCATAATCATATTTCCACAGTCAACCGGGATGAATGCATGGGTAAGAGAGAGGGCTTTTTCCTGACTAAGACCATAATTGACATCATAGACCTGGAAGATTCTTTTCTTAGCTTGAATGAGCCATCTTGGCCTGTGCTTTTATATTATTAGAGTTATTCTCATGGAAGTTTTTCATTAGATGACTCATGAGGGCCCAGCTGCATAAGTATTTTTTATATAATAATTTTATTTTTTTAATTTTAATTTTGTGGGTACATAGCAGATATCTATAGGGTACATGAGATGTTTTGATACAGGCATGCAATGAGTAATGATCACATCATGTAAAATGGGGTATCCATCCATCCCCTCAAGTATTTATCCTGAATGAGTATTATGATCAGGAAAATACTCAAAATTGGGCTGTATTAATTTAGTGGTTATATTGATTAAAGACAGTGGAACAAGCTGTCCTACGCTTACTTTGAGGGTGGGTCTATATACAAGCCTGTTTTCTTTCCTTCCTGCCTCGTACAGGGATTCAGATCTGACTGTGTCACCATCCATGCCTGCAAGGAGCTTCCAGTCTAGTTTCAGTATTAGCTGAGGGTGGAAGAGGGCTTGTACTGGCCTCCCAGGTGACAAGAGCCCAGACTCAGGAGAAATAGCTGTACTGGGCCCAGACCTGTTTCTGCAGAATTTCTGGAGAGGGAATGTGTTTGAAAAAAAAAATGGCACTGCTTCCTTTCTAGGAGTGAGAATTTAAACAACTATTATTTGTCATATTACACTCCAGAAAACATGCTTTGAACTTAAACAGCCCCTCCCATTGCCTCAGTATCAATAGATGCTCCCCATTATCCACTTTAGTCACCTCAGCTCTTCATCTTGGTTTACAGCGTTCATAGAATTATAGCGTAAACTCACCTCTCTCTCAGATATTTTCAGAACTAAATCAACCCTTCATTCTTACTGAGGAATCAAAATTTCAGAGTGATCTTGTTTTTTCTGGTTGCTTATTGATGGTCGATTAAATCTCGATTAATGAATTCTTCAGAGGCCTCCATATGGATTCTGTGCATTCATTTCTCCACATTTTCCCTTTGTCTTTCTACAAAGAGAAATGACGGTTTATGGAACCCCTCCCCCTCAGAGCTAAGTGATGGCCCTGCTTTTTTCTGGTATGTGATCTCTCAGGAAGATGTCACTCACCGGCATTCAGTTACCCTTTGAATTGCCCCTTTTCATCTGGCTGTTCTTCCCAGTCCAGCTATAATTACCATCTGATGGACTGTTACTGGATACTGTTTCACTTGTGCATCTGCTGCCCTAGGAAATTGCATTATTCTCCCAGCACCTGCTAGATTTTTCCTAGCTTCATTGTTTCCCAGCCCCTTCCTTAAACTTGGTAACTTTCACTGCCAGTGGTTAGACTTCCCTTGGTTATATTTGTGGTCAGGGCGAGTGGTGTGTTTTTAGCTCTTTGGCTGTCACCTTGGCAGAGGTTTCTAAAAATGCAGACCTGTATTTTTTCAGCATCATATATGCTCTGATTATTAGTGGGACTATGGGAGGAGTATGTTCTTAAAATGAAATTAACCCACTTTAAATCATCACCATGAGTCCAGTTTGGTTCTTCAAGCCACTTCCCAGGCAGTTAGTTTCTATGTGTTTGCACTATCTATAGGAAATACATTTCCTTCTATTAATAGTGAACTCTTCTCTGAGATTCTTAGGATCATTTACGTAAATTCCTTTATGGGCTTTCTTTACAAGGTAATAAAAACAACAACTATTGTTGCGTTCCTTTTCCCTCTTAAGCTCTTGCTTAAAGGCTTCCCATGGAGTCTCTCATTGAGTTCTGGCATCAGCACTTGTAAATAGTCACTGCCATGACCATCCTCAGTGTACCTAATGCAAACGGACTTGCCAGGGGGCAGGTAAATAACTTGTCCAAAGGCAGAGCACTTGACAGCGTTTCAAACCCAGCCAGTTGGTTGCCCAAGCTCCTGGCTTTAACTACTATAGATATCCTTTCCCACCTCTCAGTCCTACTAATATGACTCATTATAGGAAAGCCAAACCACAGAAAAGGAAGATGGCTTGATATAGAGCTTTTTGAACCTCTCAAATCTTTGGCACCAAGTACTTAACCAAAGGGTGACCCACAGACGATTGGCCTTTCCCCAGTGCAGTTTTTTTCCTCTTGGCTGAGTCATCTGCTCTTGGGTTTCATCTGGTACCAGCCTGACCCTGTCTGACCTGGGCTAGGAAGTAGCAGACAGGTTGAGGTTGGTGTGCTGGCAGGTTTTGGACACCCGCTGATTCTGGCTGTCTGCAGTTAGCTCTCTGTTGTATGGGTTTGTTCTTACAAACCTTTGTGATTTTTGTTATTACAAAAATCCTTGGTTGTTACAAAATTATGGTGGCAGCTGTTGGGAAAGGAAGAAAAAAAATTATGATCCCACATGGAGACTGCATCATACATTTCTCAAGATTCAGTTCTATGTTGGACGTGGCTTCAGAACCCAAGTAAAGGCCCATCAGATGAGTGACTGAGGGTTTATTTAGGAGGGTGGGGGTGGAGGGGAGAGACAGGATGTGAATTAGTAGCATGATCAACAAGCTGGGGAAATTGTTGAGAAACTGGGCTGTGGTCAGGTGGCAAGATGAGGCTTTGAGGGTATGGTAGAGAAGAAATTGGGAAAAGCAACTTCTTAACATCTTAGTATTGTCAAGAATCAATGCTGTATCTTATCCTCATATTCTAGGACAGATATTTATAGGACAGTCTCTCTCTTCCCCCATGCATGTCTTTAATAGCTTCACATTGTGATATAAATCATATATATATATATACACACACACACACACACACACCATATAATTCACCCACTTAAATTGTACAATTCAAAGGCTTTTAGTATATTCACAGAGTTGAACAATCATTACCACTATCTACTTTTAGAACATTTTCATCACCCCCAAAAGGAACCTGTGCCCATTGGCAGTCACTTCCTGTCTCTCCCAGCCCTCTCCTCTCAGCCCTAGACAACCAGCAATTTACTTAATCTCTCTATGAATTTACCTATTCCGGATATTCCATACAAGTGGCAACATATACTATGTGATATTTTGTGACTGGCTGCAGAGCATGCTTTCAAGGTCCATCCACATTGTAGTGTGTATCTGTACTTTATTCCTTTTTTATTGCATATCCTATTGTGTGGATAATACTATATTTTATTTTTTTCATGCATGAGTTGATGGACATTTGATTTATTTCTACTATTTAGCTATGATGAAAATGTTGCTATGAAAATTCGCTCACAGGTTTTTGGGCATATATATGTTTTCATTTGTGGGGTGGTGTCTATATCTACAAGTGGGACTGCTGGGTCACATGGTAACTCTATGTTTAATATTTTGAGGAACTGCCAAACTGTTTTCCAAAGTGACTGCATTATTTTGCATTCTTTCATTCTTAGATCAGATCTAGCATTCTGGCTGGTAACTGCTGAAGTGCTGGACAAATCAAGGTCATTGAAGGGCAATGTCTCTAACTATTCTTTCGGTTTCGGAAGTAGAATTTCTGCCACTCCGAGAGAGCTTCAGACGCACATTTGAGACTGCACTGCTAATAATGCATCCGTTCTTTTGAAAGCAGAGATTTTGTTTAAATAAAACCTCTGTTATCCTTCCTGCTTCACCCTCTCTGACTCAGCAGCCCCTGTGGTCCTGTGCAGACATTTAAGAGAGCTCAGGCAGCAAAGAAAACAGCCATCTAAATGCAGGAGGAAAATGGGGGACTTTCTGGTTTTTTTTTTAAGCCACCAGCATGTTCTTTGTTTGATCCCCCTTTAGTAATATTATTGCTCTTAAAAAGAGCTGCCACTGTTCCCAACAGAAAAGAAAAAAATCCTGAGGCTTTCCTGGATGCTGATTGGGTTCTTGCCACAACCCAGTAGGAGGGAAAAAAATGCATTCTGTTCCCTGCAGAGTCAGGGTAATGAATGCCACAGAGGTCCAGAAGTGCCTCCGGACGCATCAGCTGCCTGCTGCAGAGCTCTGGAAGCCTGCAGCCTAGCAAGACTTCTGGGTGGAGCTGAGCTCCCGGGCAGAAACTGGCCTTCGCAGCTAAGTGGCTTCTTCAGAATCCGCCTTCAGGGAGAAGAGGAATGGCAGCTCCAACGTGAGGCTTGGCTTTGTGTATTTTAAAGTAGCTGGGGATATAAAATGACAAAGGGGACAATTAAAACTGCAGATACTGACTAGAGAAGTGATATATTTTCTCCTTGATTAAAAATAAATATGTTATTACAAAAGCAGTACATGTTTTTTGTAGAAATTTTATGAAAAAACAATAGAGAAAATCAGTAAAACCTTCAGTCCTCCTATCTTTTTATTACCTTTGTTACTATTTTGGGGTTTTAGCTTCCAGACGATTTTCTGTGAAAAAGACTACATATATACTGTTAGATGTGGGGTCACTGTGTTTGTAGCATGCCTCTTCCCGTCATGTGTTTTGGCTGTATTTACTTGTTACTAAGTATCGTAAAGTATGATTTTCGTGGCCACGCAGTTGTCTGTTAACCAGCAAGCCCTGTCGCTCAGCGCGAACTTTCCTCCTGCCAGGCCCTGCGTTACATCCTGTCCCGGATGATCTTTCATTCTCATAGATGTTTCAGCATCATTGGCTCCATTTTGCAGTGGGGAAAACTGAGGTTAGGAGAGGTTTGGTAATACAGGTGAGCATTAAGCCAGCCAGACTTGTGGGAATAGTCACAAAGCCACTTGAGCTCTATCTCATTGCCCTGTAAATATGCTCCATGTGGCTGAGTTTTCTCCTGCACCCAGATGGAAAGTGAACAAGTTCTGGGACCTTCTGGTCAATTCTAGGTCATTAAAGCTGTATGGATCACTTAGAGTCACAATACATGATCTTAATTCCATAAAATGTTCAATTTCATTTGATGTAATAATCAAAACTCAATTTTCATCCAAGGGTTAGACTCCCCTGACCCGCTGCTGAAGGCTGCAGCACATAGGAAGCCTGTGGCTGGAGAGGCAGGACAGGGTGGTCCTCTTCTCTCTTCCTAACTCCCATGCCCCTTCCGCTTACTTAGCATTTATATTGCTTTTCAGTATTTAGGACTTTCTCTTTCTTTAGCTTATTAGTGTCTTCTTATTATTGAGCGTATTTCTAGTCCTTCTGAAATTGGGGTCCGGGCAGGGAGAAACAGTTGGAGGAGTAGGCAAGTCTGAACTTGGCCGTTGCTGTCATAAGATTGTCCCTACTCTGTGGGCTGGACTCCTCTTCCCTTAGTGTGTGTTTGCAGTTTCCTAGGGGATTCCTGTCTGTGGAGACCTCTCACCAGCATTCCCCTGATGCAGAAGATGCCATCCTCTAGCTTTCACACCAAGTCTCGTTTGCCCCTGGAGGTGCCTTATAGGAAGGACCTGCAAGAAGGGCTCTTGCCTCTGTGGGTCAGCAGGCTCTGCCCATGCAGGCCACCTGCCCTTCAGCTCCTTCAGCACACCCGTCCACTGCATCTGGGGGACTCACATGAAGCTCTTGGAGGGCTCCCAAACCCTTTCTGTGACTTGAAGCAAAAGACCCCCTCCCACATCTGTCCTCTTTGGGGTGGGGGGCATCAACAGCTCTCCAGGACAGATCTTCAGAAAAGCTCCTTTTGCATCTACTCATCTAACCCTTTCACGTCTTCATTATGAGCTAGGCATTTAAACAGTGCTTGCCACTGAGTTGGCATTTTTATAAGGGGGCTCCTTTGGAATGTAGCATCTATTGTCTTCATACTGAGGCCACACAGCTGCTAAGTTGTGGTTTGGGAGCCAAACGGTGTGATGCCAGAGCCCGCAATTCACCTTTGCTGTTTGCAGGCCCATTCCCTCATGTTGGTCATTAAAGTTTTTGTCCCAATTTTTATCATGATGAACAGTGCCACTATGTCTGCTCTTATTATTTTTCAGCACATTTTGGATGATTTCCTTTGAATAAATTCCTAGAAACGGTATTTCTAGATCAAAGACAAAGTTACTTTGATTAAAGAGTTATTATCACTTCAATCAAAAAACATAAAGCTTTAGAATTTGAAAATGAAAACTTGTGATTCCTGAATTGAAAAAGATGATTTCTCTTGGCAATATGTTGCCTTATAAGCAACATACAGAGTACAGCGATACACAGCAAGCCCTGTTGTTTATCAGATACAGATTTTTGAGAGAGGAAACCAGTTGTGCAAATTATACAGCTTTTATTTTCCTATTTTTGTCTAATTAAACTGAGTCTCTGCTTTGAGCCTTGGATTCTACTCGATGGGTGTGAAAGTAACCTCCGTCAGTTCTGGGTAAAGTTAAAGATTTAATGTTCATTGAGTCCATTTGGGAGCTTTTCCTGGTCTTCATGCTTTCAGGAGGGAAGACGTCCGAGTTCTCAGGAGCTCACGGACTTGGACCGTCCTGGTATCAGGGCGGCGGGAAGGAGAATGGGAGTGGGGGTATCTGCTACTTGGGTAATGCCCGTCCTCACGGGAATCCTGAGTTCAGAGTGTCAGCCTTTGTCCTCAGGCAGAGTCGCCCGTTGTCCTGGCATCTAAGCCCCACAGCCCTCACTGCTTTCTGCAGAGGTGTTTCTTCCTCGCAGCCCTGAGGCCAGTCTCACTGTGGCCTTGTGTCCCCTGGAGCCAGGTGCTCTCTTCCTCTGTCATGTTCCCTGCTTTCGGCTTCAGGAAGCTTATTTCCTTCCTCATCCCGGAAGCTCCCTCAGCCATCTCCACTGGACTCTTCCCAGGACAAGGTGGCAGAAGCGTCATCCTCGTGAGGCAGCCTTTTCTACTCTGGCATTCTCCAAAATCTTTGTGGGGATCCTGCCCACTTCCTCCCTCTTTCCTGGCCTTAATCAGAGGGAGGGAGAGGGCGGCGCTGTTGGTACAGCATTTGCTGTACCTTCTTCCCTTCTCCTGCTTCCCCTCTGGCTTTCCTCCTCCTGGTCTCTAGACAGTGCACTCGCTGTCTCTATGTGTTCTTCTGCATCTGTCATTGGAAGCATCAACTTTGAGTTTTGATGTATAACAGTCAGGCTTTTGAGACTCAGAAAACCTTCTTGCAACCTGTTATCTGCCTGGAAACAAAACAGCACAGAATTGACGCATTTGTTCTCCGGGGCTGGGTCTGCCCAAAGGCCTGGTGTCCCCTGGCTGTTGCCTGCAGCATCAGGAGGGGTCAGGAGTCAGCAGGGATTGGCAGAAATGAAACACATCTGCTAGTACAAAAACAACACCCCACCAGGATGACAGCAGTGACAGACACATGAAACACAGACCACACGAAGGCCCCTCTGGGGCTGGTTGACTCCCTCTGGCCTGAAGAAAAATTATAAAAATGTGATTGCATTTGTTATGACGTGATTGGATGTCAGTAGATGCATATAGAATAAAGTACAGTATCATAAGCCTAATTTTCAGGTCTTTTTATTAAAACTTTCATTTGTTATATCCCGTTAATAAATTCTAATTTTACAAATGGGAGATGGGCCAGGCACAGTGGCTCACACCTGTCATCCTTTGGGAGGCTGAAGTAGGAGGATCACTTGGAGCCAGGAGTTTGGGACCAGCTTGGGCAATACCGTGAGACTCCATCTCTACAAAAAATGAGCAGTAAAAAAATGGGTTATGTTTTCCTGGAAGATGTGAAAGATCAGGCAACACAACCAAGAACCTAGAGAGCTTTTACATTCAGATTGAACCGAGACAGAGTAAAAGCCTTCCACAGTTCAGTAATTTTCCTAAAGCAGTCTGAGTTTTGTTGTCATTGTTTGCACACTCACCAAATCCAGAGGGAAAATGGCATTTGAGTTCATCAGAAGCAGAGGATTAAATGGGCTTGGAAAGTGCAGTACCCGGTCCTCCCCAAGAGCCGCCCCATGCGGGCTTGGCCGAGTGGGCATGAACTGCTGTGTCGCCCCGTTAGAGAAGCAGCTTGAAGCCCACAGTCCTCAGCTCTCAATCTGCTCCCTTTCTCCAGGGTTGAACCACTTTAGGTACCAAAACTTTTACTCTGAATGTTGCCTCAAGACCATTAAGCTTAGTCCAGATTACGGATGTCATGGCCTCCTTAGTAACCAGCTTAATCAGCAAGGAGAAAATATAAAAGATGACTTAAAACGGGGAAAAGCAGAATAAATAAGGCATGAAAATAGCATGGGAGCCATAAAGACTTTTTTATTGCCACTTGTTTGCGATATCAAACACGACTCAGCTGCAGTGCAGGCAGGCATGAGCCACTCGGTCAGTGGAAATCCATGGCAATAAATGTAAATTACAGACTATGCCACGTTCCTGCTTGTGCTGTTCAGTTGTGTCCCAGGTTTTGTTTGTTTTACTTTGTTTTCATGTAATTCAGTGCATTGAAATTATCACCATGGTAGTCACTGTAATTGTGGTTTTAATGGGAGTTTATGTATTTAACCAGAAGGAGCTGTGCTTCCAGGGAACGGGTCTTAGGCAGCACTTTCCAGTCACCTTAGCAGAACTCCTCTCGTGAGAAGCACCCCCTCCTACCGCCATTCACGGATATACAGGATGGAGCTTTCATGAAACCGGAGTTGATGGTTGATTTAAAAATGGAATCGAGTATTATCTGTCACAAATCACAATTGAGCAGTTCTCAAAGATGGTCTGACAATGTCCCACAGGATTGTAAACCACAAGTCTTTTGATTTGTTTACCTGACAACATGGATCCCCACATAGTGGGTCTTTGGTTACAGTGTGTTGGTAGGACCGAGGCCGGCAGGTCCTTTTCAGACCATGTGACTTCTAACAGCTCAGCACTTACACCACCCCATTCAAGAGCAGAAGGTGGCCGGAGCTCACAGAGTTCAAATTCTAAAAGTATCTCCAGGCCTCTGAGGACTCAAATGCTTCTCACAACTCTCTCTCTTTGTACCTCTCTCCCTCCAGCCATCTCTCTCTCTCTCTGTCTCTCTGTCTCTCTCTCTCACACACACACATGCACACACACACACACCAGGCATACATAAAAACATACACACAGAGTACACAAAATCCCCATCTAAGTGTGGCCCTGGGGAAGCGCTCACACTTCCAGTTCCAAGCATGACTACACATTGTCACTTCCTGGTGCAGTGGGAAATGACAGCCTGATTCTGGACTTCTGTGACCCACCGAAAACCAGGTTGCTCCACCAGAAACCAGGTGGATTTGTCTCTTCCTGAGCTTGTTTCTCTACCCCCACCAAACCATATTTCTAGGTATCCTGTTTTTGTCCATGATTCTGATAAACACCATGGCTTTTGTGTCTGCTCTTCATCTGAGACAGAGATCCCTGCCATCCTCCACCCCTATCTGCCATAGAGAAGTCCCCTTGTTGGTCACTCTCAGCTCCTGCCTGGACAGGCTTTTCTTCAGAGACCTCAAGCCCAGGGCCTGTTGTGCATCGCTGGTTAGGGGCTTGGAGGTGGAGAATGAATTTATGCCATTCATCCAGTCAGTATTGTTGCATGCTGATCATATGGTGGGCCCAGTTCTGTGCTCCGTGGGGACAGCCATAAATAGGCACATCCCTGCCACATAGCACCTGCCTTCTAGTGGGGACAGCAGACAGTACACAGACCAGGAGGCACTGTGTCCAGTGGCAGCAAGTGCCATCAGGAAGAGAGCCTGGGAGGGGAGGGTGGGAACAGGGCAGGCCCAACCCCTCTGATAAGGGTCATTTAAGCAGATCCCTAACTCCACAGGACACAGAGGTGGCGTGTGGGCCACAAAGAAGCCTGATGCCACTTCTTCCCTCGGACCCCCCCACCCCCCAGAAGCCTCTGCAGCCTGTGAGCCTCCTCCACCAAAAGACACGCCTCCACACACAGCCCATACAACTTTGGTGCCTTTGACTTAGTTTCCTAATTACTTTGAAAGAATTTCATGCAAGAAGCCCATCGGATACAGTTAAAACATGTTCAATATATTCTCAAGGCAAACCCTCCCATTGTTAACCTTGTCCAGCTTGCTCAAATGATAACCAGTGCTATGTGTGATTGTAACTCCCCTTGAAACCACCATTTCTATTTTTCAAAACAGGAGGGAAAAGCAAGCCAGTGGGCTCAGAACATGAATTTAGAATTTCAGGAATCCAAATTATGGAAAAGGTGAAATATTTTACCTCTATGTCAGTTGGCCTCCCAGGAATTCCCAGGGAGGACATTGCATCTGTTTAAGGAAAAAATGACAAAGGAACCTGTTTGGAAGGCTCTGCTCAACAGATGTGTAGAGTATAGAAATCTATGTATTATTAAATAATTCTTTGTAATATGCTCAAGAATAAGCAATTTGTAAGCCTGTTTGTGTTCTCACCATCTGGGTGCATTCTGTCACCCATCTGTTTCATGTAATTATGTAATTATCAATATAAGGAAAGAATAGGTGATATAATTAACAAGAAAAACTGATCCACACTGAAGAGTAAAAACGACATGCATCTGTTGAATAGCTTTTTGTTTCTCTCCCTTCATTGTTAACTGTTTTTTTCACACCCTTCAGGAGAGCTGTTTTTGCCATGGTGTGCAATCTCTCTCTCCCTCCCTTCCTCTCTCTTTCGTGTGAAGGCAGAGTGTTTCGTAAGGTAGTATGGAAGTGACACAACTTTGAATGAAAGGGGCAAGGCCTTCTTGAAGTTACTCATTGATTCTCTACCTCTGGGAGGGTCCTGATAGTCACTTCCAGAAGATGTAAGGTAGCAGCTAGAACTTTAGGAATTTTAAATCAATTAGTGACAGATGGAAGGACAGGGCAGTGTGGGGCTCTCTCAGGATATTGGACAGAGAAGCTGCTTTAGAAAAATTCTTATACTTGGTGCTTTTTGTATTGATGTCAAGGCTCAGGCAGTATGTGTTTGTTTCATAACAGTACCACAATCCCAGTGGATTGTGTTAGTTTCCCTGTAACGGAGCTTTGTGTATGTGGGCACACAGATGGAATTCAGGCAACCTCTTCAGCCTGAGGACTTCAGTGGTGGGAGAGTAGCCACCCCCTCCTCTGTCTGACCAGGCTGGACTCCAAAGTTCTCCCTCAGTGACTTGGAACCAGCAATACATGTGTATTCAAGGAGAGGCATCGCAATGTCCTCTTAATTCCTGTTACCCCCACCCCCACCCCCACCCCAAGCCCTTCTGTTGAGTCCTAAATTCAGTTTCCAAAGACAAACACTGTCTGCAGGAGGTTTTCCCAACAGCGGAGAAAGCCATCACTGAAGATGCATGGTCTTGACAAAACCTTGGCTTTCAACCCCAAAGCACACAAAGCAGACACACAGCCCCCAGACCGCTATAAACAGCAGTCGCTATTAGAGATGAAGGTCTAAAATCTCAACGCTTCTTTCCACTGATTGAAAATTAGGGAGCAGGGCTCCCCTCCTGGCCTCCTCAGTGTTCTGCAGACTATTCTGCCCTCTGTCCCAACAGGGGTCCTGCCTGCAGAGTGCTGCACCTGCTTCCTGTTTAGGGTGCAGGGCAGGCAGAAGAAGACTGGCGAGAGAGCAGCATCCACAGGGAGCAGACCCATAAAACTACAGAAGCTTTTTAAGCCACAGCTTTCACCAAAGAGTTAAACTTCATGTACACACTGACAGAGAAATCTCTTATTCAGTTACTTCTTAACTTCTTTTTTCTTCAAACAGTGCCACTCGGTCTCTGGATCACTATTTCCGCTTGCTAGGTGATCATTTTGCAAGTGGAGATTGTGTTGTTTTGGAGACGCGTGCTCATCTTGGCATCTCGTGACAGAGCCTCTTGATGGCACGGTCTCCATCCAGGCTTGGCTTCTGGTTCACCCCCCACACAGGGAGCCTCATGTCACGGCAACCATTGGCTTCTCTGCCTTCACTGTTCCATGTCCAGCAAGCAAATAAGTAACTAGTTCCCACGCAGGTTTCTCTTTGTTTCTTAGAGTCACAAATTATGCTGATAAATCCTCCATAAAGCCTTCCTCTAATCCTCCATAAAACTGTCCTCTAATCTATCTGTATTTTGAATTGTTATTTCTTAAGATTTTGTTCCTAAAACAATGGATACCCGTAGAACAAGCATTATCGGAGAAATTCCTGGCACAGC